AAAGCTACGGGAGAGGTATAAATTGAAGCCCTGCTCTTTGCCGACAACGGAAACGTCATTCAATGTCGGAGACACGGGTGCCAGCACAAATACGGAAAACCACTAGAAAGCCGACGATATACGATGAATGGGGTCTGTTGAAATTGAATACCCAACCACACAAACAAATCAAATCGATATGAGCACGAGAACGTGAAATGTCGGATTTTAGAGGAATTTTAGAGGAAATCAGGAAAAAATCAGGTTTCAAAGAATCAAAATCAGCACCGAAAAAATTGTAAAAGTTAGCAAATATTGAATATTGATTGGGAGCAAAGATCTATATTGATTGGGTCAAAATATAGTTACTCAAATAACTCAGCTATACGGTAACAAGTCTACAGAGCCTGCATCACCTGATAGAAATTAGTTGATTTGAACAGCAGGATGTAGAGTAGGCTTCCCTATCAAATGAAGAGATCCTTTGATTATCTCTTTCCAAAAACACTTTTATTCAACTTTTCAAATTTTTCTTCCTCTCTTCCTTCTGTATAGATCGTCTACATGCACTGATTCTTTCCAAATTACACCTAATGTTTCCTGCATCGTCTTAAAAACTGAATTTCAGAAGCAGCGAGGGTCAGATGTACTTTCTTCCAAAAATCGATCCCTGCTGGATTTCTGCGGAACCTGTGATTAATAAAGTCTGTAGGTTAATGTGTAGACCTTATTTACTGTCAACTACCAATTCAACGTTCAATGAAGATCGGATGCGAGGCGTAATACTGATAGGAAAGGACAGGGTGCATTGCCATTTTTTTACAAATTACTGCATAAATCATCAGTGTGCTGAAAATTCAGGAAAGTGCATCAATTTCCGTGGCGAATCAGTTTGGAAAAATACAAAAAAAAATTGAAAATTAAATAGAAATGGAAAAAATCAATGAAATCAGCGATATCGCCCATTACGGAAATGATGAAAGAGGTAGGCACAAATAGACCTCACAGAACTGTGTACACATTACCAAAGTAAATATTTTTGAGGTCGTTTCTCATCGAAAAACGACGGAACGCTTACACACTCAATATCAATTCTACTACTGAAAACGATTTCTATTATACACATGGGCCTTACCTCAAAAGGTCAGCTGCAGCCAGAAGCCTTGCCAAAGACAGGTCGCCACCGATATTCTGTCCCTGAATTTGAAACGATGATTTGGATAGAAGTCGATCAGAAAAAATAATAACCGGGGGGAATTCCCCAGCAGACCTCAAAAACGACCTCACGAAAAAGTGTCGCCTCACGAAAACAAAGCGCGCTCTACTCGAACTCCAATACTGCTGACCGGAGTCCATATTACTTCCCTCTCTGGCAGGTTAACTCCCGATCCCCACAAAGTACTTGGGCTAAGTATCTACCAGATTGAAGAATCTGGCAATCCCATATCCATTCCGTCTGAGGTGCTTTTGAATCAATGCTTGGCGTACATTTAGTAGTAAGTAAATGATCAGTTTATGTGATGAACCGGCGAGTTTGCGAAGAGAGTGGACGAGTTGTCGCAGAATGAGCCTTTCGTGAAAACGCAAAAGCACGGGCAAGACTTAACGGTGTACACTTGCTGAAGCCTTCTACCAGTTGATCCCTTCCTAGATCGACCGTTGTCTTCACACAGAAAAGACCTATAAGTGAGCCTGAGATAATTGTCAACTGCCATATGCACTCCCCCAATTCCCGCTGTCTGTTCAAAATATTCTTACCCAGAGTAATATCTTTCCCCTTCGATATGTTATTACACTTAATATTGAGCAATCACGAACTATTTCACTCAAACTACCTATAAAGCCGACTATTATCTTCCCTAATGGTAACTTTCCAGTTTTTTTGAGGTCCTACCCTGAATGCCTTTGAAATACCAGGCCCACAAACGAAAGTTCACTCTCGAAAACTCCATAGCCCAGGGCTGGTAGCAAACCCTCAGTTATTAGTACTTTTGCGCAATAAATACGCATAGAAGACTGAGACAGGCAAAAACAGAGGAATGATTAAGGGGATAGCCACCTTCTGTGCCTGCCGAAATTCTGAAAAGAAAATGGTTTTTGGCTGAAACGTACATGCGATCCATCACTGGTCGCCAATCTATCCTCATTAGCCGAAGACATCGTTCACATCTAATCGCTTCCTTTTCACATCAACTTCTTCGACTGCTGCATGGACGAGGCGAGTTTTCTGCAAGGTGAAATGCTTTCGGAGTACCGACCAGAAAAAAAAACCGACGAACAAAGCGGAACGCTTCACAACAGAAAAAAGGAATCCTTGAAAATGCAATTAAATGAGTGAATAAGTGTCTCGAAGAAGAACAAAATCTTTCTAAAAAAAATCAGAGAACTTCTCAAAGACGACCGCTGACGAGCGGAAAATTAAGATGACAGATGATAAACGATATGAAAATCCTTCTAAATTCTTCACAAAAAACCGTGAAACTCCTAACTGGCTCCGAATGGAGTTACATGAACGCCGTAATTGTCTAAGGAAGAATCGAAGGCAACAGAAGAGCATAGCAAAGGGCTGAGTCGGTGATACCCAAGTGATACGAGGAGTAGCTGACGAACATGCTTCTCCAGGACAAGCCAACTCTTTTTCCATCCCGTAGGACTGGTTAGTCAAAGCAAAACTTGTTTCGAAGACCACTGAATGGATGTATAGCATATGCCTACTAATGTAATCACTGTTTTTTGAATTGATGACAGATACACGGCCTAACCCACAGAGGACGGAGCATTACAGGAGGCTGTATCGTACCTCAATAGCAAGTATAAGTCATATATTCTCACATGATCTCGAGTAATACTCTTTCAAGCGTTCTAAAGGAAGGTGAAGGGCAACGGAAGAAGGGAGCATTTCATCCTAGAAAAAGCGATTTCGAAAACTGAGAACAGCTATGCATTAGTCATGGTCATAAGAACGTCCTTTTTGCCATTTATGAATGTTCCATAATGGTTAATCTTTATCGATAACAAAATGCGATAATTCCCTCTACATTTTCTGAAATGGTGCCCTTAAAAATGTCATGTGTTAGACAATGCTAATGGGAATGGCATCGAGCTATCGAAGGTCTTTTCTAAAGAAAAAATATTATGATGACGTTCGCATATGTTGTGGTCATACTCTACACGATACAATCGAATTCTTCAGTTTGAACTCTGCTCAGACTCGTGGGGTGATCGATGCCAATGGGACATCCACAACCAGTCGAGGAAACAACGACGATCCACCTAACATTAGATCTCTCCTACTGCGAATATGTTTTTCCTCTTCTACCCCTCGTTTCATACCCTGCAAACTCCTTCACAGCAAAGTGACTCCTTCCTGGTGGACAGTTCATCTTCATATGACAAGTGAAATTGGGAAAGGGTGAAAAAGGACAGAGAAGGGGCCAAAATATAGTCATTGATCGTCCCCACAGGGCAACACTCTGTAGAGAAAAAAAATGAAAACAGTAAGTCGCGACAAACTGATCTAAGGCTCTTTGTGTTTGTCTAGTTTTTTACCTATGAGAGCGGAAAAAGTAGCGGAAAATTTTTTAAAAAATTGCAAAATCTCCTGTGATTAGTTGGGATCTTTCCTTTCCCTGACTAACAGAAGTTCAGGAATTTTATAAAAAAAAACAGAGCCTCCAGCATAGATCTTTAACCACTGAGCCTTTTTTCCTGATGGAGATGTATTCTATTTCACAAAAAAANAAGCAATATAAAATACCAACCTGAATAACTATCACTCCTAGGGATCAGTGAAATACTAAAGCCGTGCCAATTACTAGTAAGGATAATTGTAGGTTCCTC